TTAACATAATGATAAAGTACAGACACAGGTGATGGAATAAAGTTTCTCTTCTAAGAGAAACTTCTGCCACTGTACAAATAAATAAAAGCAATGAAACATCTTACCTTCTAGTTTTTTATTCTCTATACGACTTTATCCAAGTAATATACGCCTGAAAAGATTAACGCAACATGTTCCTATGTACTAATTGTTCTATTATTAAGGTGAAAGATTGAACATCTCTAAGAATTATAATATCAAAAACTTGTTTCTTTATAAGTGTAAAATTCATTTTGTGCAAAAGATCTTTCTTTTTTTTTTACAATGAATATACAGTTATCATACATATTTACATAAGATTCATTTATCAATACAAAAATAGATTATATATTATATCGAATTATGATAATCCCTGTAAAAAGTTCCCCTTCCTTTTAGTTTTGTCGCAGAAAATAATTACAATTTTTGCAAAGTGTTATAAACAACATAACGCTACTTTTAAATCTTTCATCGATCGTTAACGTAACAATCAACGTTTCAACCAACAGCTTTTTTTATTCCTAAACCTTTCAAGTGAAACATGATTATTTTTCTTTTTTTTTATTCTTTCGCTACATGATTCGTTGGTTCAGGTTTTATCTCGTCCATCTGCTCAGAAATAACGATATCAGACTGCTCTGTATCTTTATGTAGAGCGATAATAATTTTTTCTTCCGCAGAAGATTGACTGTCGGAAGAACCTTCCTGCGTCGAAGTAGCTGCTTCCTACAATAGAAAGGAAGCTATGAAAAAATAATAAATGGACCTGTTTGCTTCGCCTTTTCATATTTTCATCTTTCTCGTTCGACTTTGTAAGCTGGATAAATCTCAACTCAAAGTTAGATTACAACTCCTCTTACCGTACTTCGAATCTTCGTGTGCGTTTTTATATGTTTCGTCAAATGGTCCGACCGCATGAATTTTTTAGTACACTCAGGACACTGGAATCTCTTCTCACCGGTGTGGGTTCTACGATGCCTCTGAAGCTCGTCCGACCTAGTGAATTTCTTACCACAAAATATCCAACTACAAACGAACGGTCGTTCTCCAGTGTGCCACCTCAAATGAGCCCGAAGATGACTCGTCTTCCCGTATACTTTATTACAGCCTGCTATGTGGCAAACGTGCTGCCGTTTCCTAGTCATGTCTCTATTCCTATTTATGTGTAAATTTCAATTTACAAAACTATTGCAAACTTGAATAAACAGCAAATGCTAGCAATATTACCTATCGCCATCTCCGCAATTGGGACACGTGCAAGCGACCCTTCTACGATGTTGTTTGTTAGAGTCCGTCTCGATGTTCGCTGATGTGGCCGTGGTTACTTGGTGTTGGTGCGACGTAGGTGTAGGCGTCGTTAACGTATTGTTTGACTGAAGAGTCTGTAAGATTTGCCATTTGGTCGAGTCGTTCGAGTCCAATTGCACGGTTGGAGCGGCAACAATCGGCGCGGCTGCTGTTGCTGGTAGCGTTTGAACAGTGGCTGGCTGAAGAGCACTTGCTGGTATGACTTGCACATTTCCCAGGCCTGGAATATTTTGCACGGGTATCGACTGAAGAAATCCATTTGTCGCGTTCATTCCACTGGCAGGTTGAAGTTGCATTATGCTTCCACTACCAACGCCCCTCATCATGTTACCTTGCTGGGTAGTTAGGTTTGCTAACGCGGATGCAGGAATTAGAGTTAATTGTTGCGCTTGAGTTCCTGTAATATACATATTTTGAAGCATTAATATGACTGTAAGATTAATACAGATAATGCAGATAGAAAAAATAAGAAGTAAAATTGGTCAACGTGCCTGCAATTGTGATAGGTTGGACTGTAGGCTGTGTTGATTGAGCGGCAGGAATATGTATAACCTGGCCGCTAGCTAATTGTCTAGCATCAATACTGGTTACTTTTATATCACCTTCGACTGCCTCCGGTGGTCTTGTTAAAGCTGATAGCGTTTGTACATCGATTTTCTGTCCATCTTTTGTGGTAATCATGTTGCTGCCTCCTTGTATTGGTCTTCCAAGTGCACCAATTCCAAGTACCTATAATACATTTAATAACAGGTTTAGATAATAATTAACTTTATGAATATAAAAAGTAATTAACTTTATGAATATATAAAATTTAAGAATCTATGGTATGTGTTATATAAAATATTTTAAGATTTCATTAATACTACAATGTGACTTGACATTATCATAATTCAAATTTAAAACAAATCATTATACAGAGGTATTACACTTATAAATATATAGGTATTATATATATATATAATTTTATTATATATATAATAATAATAATAAGATATATATATTATATTTTATGGCTTTTTACCTGAACATTGCTTGGAGTTGTTACTGTTGTACTCCAAGTCGCTACAGTAGACGATGGAGCAGATGACTGCTGTTGGGCTTGTTGAACTTGCTGTTGTTGCTGCTGCTGCTGTTGTATGACTTGCTGTACAACCTGTTGCACTTGCTGTTGCTGTTGCTGCTGCACTTGAGCCTGTGCCGCCTGTTGTTGCTGTTGCTGCTGCACGGACTGTACAATTTGTGGTTGAGCTTGTTGCTGTACTACCTGTTGTGCTTGTTGTTGAGCAACTTGCTGCGCTACTTGCGTTACCTGCTGATTCTTACATCAAAATTGTTTTAATAAAATTATTATGTTGTGTTATGAGATAATAAATTATCTTTCTTATATTTACTTGCAAGCTTTGAAGCTGTGGTAAATTAGCAATTTGAACCTGTTGAATTTGTCCATTTGGCGTAATTATTTGAGCTACTTGCGGAATTTGCTGCAAGAAAATTTTATTTTAAACAATATATACTAATTCTTTTCACTCAAAAATTTCGATACATATATTTCAACGTACTTGCGTGATCTGCGGTATCATTTGCGTGGCAGGCACATTGAAAACACTGGATAATGCTTGAACTGGAAAATGGACAGTTTGGTAAACTGTTTGTCCATTACTAGCAGTAACGGGTACTTGCACAGGCACAGTTTGTTGAACATGTTGCATAGGGAATTGAAGTGGTCTAACTTGTACACTTTGCCCTGTATGAAAAAAAATATTAAAAGAAATTTTCTTTAACTTTCACAAAAGCAATAACAATAGAACACACACCTGTTGGCAACTGAACAGTTTGTGCAGTGATATTTTGTATGATAGAAGTAGGAAAGACATTGGGTGCTTTTATCAAACTAACTGGCTGTGGTGTAATAATAGTCTGACCATTAGCCAGCTGTACTTGCTGACTAGCAAGTTGAACTTGTTGGCCGTTAGCAGTGGCGAACTGCATGGTGGGCTGGCTTTGATGATGCCCACCTGCAGCAGACATAGCAGAGGATGGAATGAAAAGTGCTTCTTGCCCATCGATATTAACAGTTTGCATCTGTGGTATAACGCTGTAACTGAGTTGCTGTTGTGGTTGCTGCTGTTGTTGCGCTTGTTGCTGTGTCTGCTGTTGTTGAGTCTGTTGCTGTTGCTGCTGAAGCGTAGCTTGAGCTTGAGTACTGATCAACTGAGCACCCTAAAGTAATCAATACATCTTAAGAGAAGAAAGAATCAATCTATTTATTATCATTTCTAGGGTCGCATTGCTCACCTGTAAAAATTGTTGAGGCAAAGATTGCACAGAAATAGTTTGTGCTCTCTGTTGATCGTGCTGTGGTTGTTGAGTCTGTAAAGGCACAAAATTTTGCAATTGTTGCAAAGTAATGACTTGCGGTTGTTGTTGCTGTTGTGCTTGTTGTTGAACATCCTGTTGCTGCTGCAACTGTTGCAAAACATTCGCACTTAAGAAACGAATTTGCGGTTGGGCACTTTGCTGTTCCATTTGCTGTTGTTGCTGCTCAGTTTCATCCTGTTGCTGCTGCGTTTGCAGGAGATCATGATCTTCGATCTCCTCCTGTGAAGCAATTACAGCTCTTTTCTCATTTCCGTTTCACCGTACTGTTGTGAAAATAAATATTTCTCCATCGTCTCACCTGACTGATGCTTCTCCCATCAACGCTTCGTTTCATGATGAATATAAGTTCAATATATTTTTAACGTAAACAATGCTGAATTTACGTAGGTTTCCCTTATGCTAGGAATCCATTCTTCGTTATACCAAATAGGACTGGCCACTTAGCCCGCGGTACGTGGGAACACTCACTTGGAGAGCTGATCTAGAAAGTTCATTTGCTGATCAGACTCATTCTATTCAAGTTTATTCAAGATTGTTCAAAATCTCCACCGACTTAGCTACGATTGTAACTACCCGGCTACTCGAACACCGCATCTGGCTTTGTTGCTTCTTTTTCCTTTATCTTGTGTCAAAGCGAACGTAACACGCGGCCTCGCGCGTTCGATTCAGGGTATTCGGCGATCGAACAAGAAACGAGGAACGAACCGATCGCCCGAACGTCGAACATGAGCAAGAAACATGAATGACTACTCAAACGATATCGACACGTGCGAAGACCGCTCTCTCTGAAGACAAAGAAGGCCAGAGAGCCTTCTCCTCGAGAACCCAATTGAGGACCGCCTCTCTACGCCCCTGTTCCTGCCGCCCCACCCGCCGCTGTTCGAAATATTGCCCACCGTGCAAAGACGCGCATAACCGCCGACATAGAGGCGCACCGTGTGTCGTCACACCCGCCCACTCGGTCACTTGTCGACTGTCCGCCTCACCAACACATTCGCGTACCTGCGATAACGGGGAAGGCAGCCTCGCGATGCAGCCTCCACCCACTTTGCACATGGGACTCCACCTAACTCGCGAACAGCACGTGGCTCCTCTGTAGAAACGTCCGCACTGTGCACTCTCCCGCCACCCGATTTTTCGTCCCCCTCGAGGACTGCGACGAACCTCTCGCGCTCGCTCACGCTTTTTCTTTCATCCGTTCGACCCTGTGGCTGTGCCCAAGAGAACGGCCATCATAGGAACGCTAGAGTCGACGAAACTCGAGTCTGAAAGGAAAATTGCACGTCGTAGGTTATGGAAAAACGAAAAATAAAGTGATTGAGTCGCTGATGCAGAGAGAAACAAAGAGACAGATATCACAGTTCGTTGTTCAGAAATGCGTTTATGCGTGTACATGGCATGCATCGTTCGAGCGTGCATGGTCGCGCGCGCGCGCGCGCGCATTGTTCACAAAGTGATCGCGGTCGACGATCTACACTTTCCTTCTTTGATCGATATACCTCTTTTGGTCTTTGTTGTTCCTTTGGAATCGTTCTCTTTCCAGAAACAAAGCGCGAACACGTCGAAACGCGGGACTCGGCTACGAGTCTGCCATTCGTCGCTGTAGCACTGTAGTCAATTCCCTTGGTAACGCCAGGGAAATTGACGCCACGTTCGAAGTTGCCGCCAAAAGTACGCAAATAGGACAAGCCGATATTCCCTCCTTTCCCGATGGTGACGACAGACGGAGAAAAAAAAATTTTTCGAGGTGAAAGATTTTCACCTCGAAAGAACGCCTCGTACGCTGGTTTCGTGTCACCGTGGCACGCGATCTGATTTCAACGTGATTTCACATGTGCACGTAGACTCGCAACGTGTTCGTCGGCCGTCCCTCGCGAAAACAGAGCTGCGAATACTGCTATGAGAGGACTACTTTCGCCGTGGGGCGGTACACAAGGTGGCAACGTCGCCGTCCGCCGAGTGATCGGATCAGGGCTCTGATTGGTCGTTGGTTATTCGTGATAGCTGGCACCGTGCGGAGGTTCGTTAGACAGGGGCGTACGCAGGAACCGTCGGACGCCCACCCCGTCGAAGAGGGATAAACGATGCACACCTCCTTTCTCTGGCCTTCCTTCCCCTCTTTTTACCAGTACCCCCCCGGTCAGGGCCACGTTTGAGCAGGGTCGCGACATCGGTATATCGTTGTTATATCATTTCTCTCCCTTTCTCTCTCTCCCTCTCTTCCTCTCATTGTGGAAACGTTAACTGATTGCCAAATGCCTACGTTCATCCAGAAGAACGAGGGAGGAGCTGTTAGTACTCCCTCGCAATGCCGCCGCCCTTCTTTTCATAATCGGTAACAAGTTTCACGATTCACGAATCGCGAGTCTCCCTCGCTTTAGTTAACCATGTATGGAGCAGTTGAGTAGGTTGCACGCGACCTAAGTGCCGAAGGCCACTTTAATCCGAAGGCTATGAGGTTAATATTTTTTTTTTTTGGGCTCGTAGTTGGCGTATTGATTTTGTTAAAAAAGTGGGCATATCCCGGTGTGCATAGCAACAGCAATTTTTCAGTAGTGTCTGAAAATATCGAAGTTTGATTCGATGTAAAAAAGGATTGACGATGCGCGTGCAGAAATATGTTTAAAAATTTATTTGATAGAAAATACACGTGTAATTCCACGTCACTGAATGCTAAACAGGGGTATACATTCAACTTACGGATGTTTCTTTTTTTTTTTAGGGGGAGAGGTTGTTTTGCTTTTGAACATTACAGTTGATTTATTGATTTCGTTGATGGATGGATATTTGATTCATAGTGACAGGAATCACTGAGGGATATCTGGAAATATTAATGAGGATTAATTGAGATTTGGATGAAAGAAGACTGATAATGTACAAGACAATATAAAAGATAACTTATCTAAACGGATTGACACATAAGATAAATCCAATATGGCTTTTTATTAGTCAATGATAATGACTAATGACAAATGAAATAAATTAATCTCTAACATCGGTCATATGTCGTGATTGCATGATGTTAGTCGCAATAAATTAAATAAGTAGTTACATTTAAATAATCAAATAACCTATACATATATATATATACATATATATATAGACTCTTTTCTAATATACATTAGCAATTAACGTAAATTATAAATAAATTCATCCTCGAGAATATTCTAAAAATAAAATCAAGCATACAATCCAATGGCATGTGTAATTATCACATGTAAATGTGTACCTAGATGAGGAATTGTTCACAGTATTTGACGATTTTGTTACAATTGTACAGTAACAAACTTACAATAAAATCGTATATTTCTTTATATGAAATTGTGTCCTTTAAACTGTTAAGCTAGAGTTCAATTTTCTGTGACATCAATCCTTTGTAATTATGAAATGTATGTTTCATGATTATGGTATTTGGCTTGTGATCAATAAGTAATCACAAGACTATTCGACACATTCGTGTATATATGTATATATAGTTCTCTGAAAATTGTACCGACTCGGTATACAACGGTATACACAGTCATAAATACATCTTTTAATCACACTGGTGCACTTGAGGATCTATGTACAAATTAGAACATATTTGTTCTGTCGCTTAATGAAAACTGAAAACGCTGTACACAAAAATATTTACATATTAAAATTGAAATTCTTATTATGGTCGTGTCCGTTCTCTTTTTTTTCTTTTCGAAGTTGATCATTAAAATAGTTAAGATTTGACGTAGCCGTAATTAATGTACATTTATTTACGTGCATAAAATCTTCCTTTTCCTGAGCTTAATCTCGTTCGTTTTGAGCAAGCTAATTGCAACGAAAGTCGTTGTATAAAGTACGAAAAAAGATAAATAGGTCTATAAAATAGTAATCCTAAAGTATTTGTACTAGAGTGGGCTACAATTGAAATTCAGAGTGAATGATGATTCTGTCATAATGAATTTACGTAATGCTATGTTTTGAACATGTAAATTGCGTTTAGAAGTATTTGCGGGAAATTGTACAATGCCGCACAGAACATGAACCTTTTTTACAGTCCACCGCCTGATCTTTCCACGCTGATCTGTTTATTCAATATTTCTTTCTCGTGCTGCGCCTCTTCCATCTCTGCCATCCTTGCGAAACGCGAGTATGCTACGTGTCCAGATTTGATGGCCGACATCATCTGTGTCAAATTGAAAAAGATTAGCTTTAAAAATTAAAAACGAGAAATCACGTTTCATAAACTTGAAGATAATCACAGTTTTATAGTTTGGTACAAGAGCAGCATGATACTAAAATACTTTGCAAGGAAAAAAAAAAAGGAAGCAGAAAGGTTCAAATATTCATAGAAATATTATGATCATAACATCAAGACAAAACACATTTTGATTAATTATCAAAATCAATCTGTATGTAATCAGGTCTAAACTATTCGTGCAACAAAAAAGACAATATTAAAAAACTCATTATGTTAAATTATGAAAAAATAAAGGAACGTAAAAGAATGTTACAGGTAATCTGTCGTTATTCAACAGGTCTCTTTCGCGATAATTCTTTCTATTAGATGCTGAACCGATTTCGAATAATGTTAAAAGAATATTTAAATATATGCAAAAAAAAATAATGCAATAAAAAGAAATTTGAAAGCAGCAGCAAGACTATATGATCCGTGCGTGCGAGCTTTCACAGACCTGAAGATATTCGTCCAACTCGACCTGACCGTTCATATTAGTGTCGATTTCGCGCAGTATTTCATGAAGCTCTTCACCAGGTACTTCCTTGTCACCAAACAACTGCGAATGGTAAAAAAAGACATTTCGATTAAACGTATGCACTACGATTTACCTGCAGATAATCTTGTAGCTCCATTTGCCCATTGTAATTAAGATCAATTTCATTGAGCAAAGTGTGCATCTCATCTTCGTTCAGTTTTATGCCAAGTACCTGTATATTGACAATAAAACGTATAATAAAGTAAAAAGAAGATAAAAGAACAGACTCGAGTAATTTAAAATCAATGCTGTGTGTTCAACGCAAACCTTAAGTCCTCGTCTGATATCGTTAATGGAAACGTAGCCTTTGTTGTCTTTGTCGATGATCCCGAAACGTTTAATGTACAATTGAATTTCCTCCTTCGTGAGATTAATGGGAATTTTGTCACGAGACGCACGGTTGACCATTTGTCCCATTTCATTAGCGAGGAATTCAGTAGCCAGCTTCTGCTGCCTTTTCTTTTCGTCTGGTGTCCAGTGTAACTCCTCCGCCATGATATCGATGATAGCTGGAAGAGCTTCTTGTGCTGCCTGGACGTTCAAGAAGGCTAATCTCAATCTTCTTGCAATCATATCAATTGTCGTTCTCGCGTATTCACGAACTCCATACCGAATCTAAAATTGACAGCGACTAGTTATTACAATGAGAAGAAAAGAAAAATCTGTGAAAAGTGATAATCAATACTTACCTCGGCGTCGATATACGGAAATTCAGGATGAATCTTTTTACCTATGATCGGCCACCTTTTACCAGTAAGAGAAGCCATTTTTGCTACTGCAAATGCACGATCTCCATAACTTTTGGCTAGATGTTGCGCAACCTCACACTCCAAGCCAAAATCTTGTACCAATCTGATGTACATTGTCGGACTCCAACCATGAGCTCCCTCGAGGAGAAAACCATTTGTCTGACAGGGTCTTTCAGGTTTTAGATCACAAGCTTAACGAATAAAATAAAACTTATGAAATTTTTAACACATGTACGTGTATAATAGATATAACATACCATTGATAGCTGCGTCGATGGTTTCCTCAGCCATTGCCCTGTACGTCGTCCATTTACCTCCAGCTATCGTGATAAGTTTTGTGGGACTGACATGCACGATATGATTTCTAGCTAGAGATTGAGTGTTTGGTTTGTTAGGATCGGAAACAAGGGGTCTGATTCCGCTCCAAGCAGACAACACGTCTCCCCGACGGACTTCAACGTCCGGATTGAGGTAGTTCTTTACTTCACGTAAAATGAACATGATTTCATCTTCTGTGGGTCGTGGATTATGCGTTACTTCACAGGGTAAATCAGTTGTCCCTGCGATCGTTTGCTTCTGCCAAGGTAGGAAGAAGATCACTCGGCCATCGCTCGTCGCTGGGTCCAGCAAACCCATTTGATCAGGACTATAAATGAAATTTATATATAATTAATGTAAATCTTCCCAACGCGTTTTACAATCCATCTGTGGTTATTTACCTGTAGTAACCTGGAAGAACAATATGTACACCCGAAGAAGGACAACAGATTGATTTAACATCTTGGTCATCCATCTTCCTGATATTATCGGTGAATGGACCCGTTGCGTTTATTATTGCCTTTGCTTTCACATCCCACTGTTCACCTGTGAGTTCATCTCTCACACGAGCGCCAGTGAGAACTCGATTGCCGTCCTTCGCGAAGAAAAGATAAACAATTTACTATTTTTACAACTCTTATCACACGTGAATAGTCGGACAATATCAATGTCAATACCTTATCAAGACCTTTCAAGAGATTAACAACCGTAACATGATTTACGACTGTAGCGCCGTGTCGTGAGGCGGTAAGTGCGACTGCTAAATTCATTCTGGCATCATCCTGTTGACCTGTTACACCGAAGGAACATGAAATTATAATATGCTTAAAAAGGCTGATGAAGAATAGCACAATGGCAAATACCATCATAGTAAACAATAGCTCCCGTGAGTTTGTCCCCTTTCAACATGGGAAACAATTCCAACGCATTGCTTTTGCTGAGAAAGTACGACGACTTTACTGTCTTACTTCCAGCCACAAGGTCGTACATTTTTATACCGAACCAATAATAAGGGATTTGCCACCATCTGTTGAAAAAGCAAGTGGATGTTACAAAACGATTTTGATCGTTGATTACGTATCGAACAAGCAATTTAAAAAAAAGCAACACACGTGTAAACGGGCAACATAATAGGTAAAGGATGAGCCAAGTGAGGTGCGCTGTGTAACATAGACGCTCGTTCATGCAAAGCTTCTTTCACCATTTTGTACTGTTCTACGTCAAATTGCATTATAGCCTTCTGCAAGTAACGCACTCCTCCATGGATGAGTTTTGTACTTCTGGAAGATGTACCAGAAGCAAAGTCATCTCCCTCAATCAACGCTGTTTTCAAACCTGGAAATTAAGAGTAGCGTGTTTATTAATCGACAAGCATTGAGTTAAAAAAGAGCGGGAAAGAAATTACCTCGTGTGCAAGCATCCAACGCGCACCCAGCACCCGTCGCACCACCACCAATAATGAGAACATCGTATTCCTCGTGATTCTTTAATGTCTTCACTTGATCCTCTCTGGTTGGCAATGGTCTTTTTGGTGGTCGTGGTTTCGGTACATCCGCGTGTACCTGTAACGAATGAAAGAACAATGAGTCAAACGAATCATAATCAGTTTTGCGCGAAATACATTGCACGAAAGTAGTATCTTCGCGCGAATTTTTTGATTACATACGAATTGGCGCCATTGTCGATCGATAAAACAGTTGAAAACGCGGCGGGTAAGTCGAAATAAAAGAGCATTCCCCGCGTATTTATTAGTGCAGATTGAAGGCTATTCTTCAATTGTCGTCACATCGAATAGCAAGGCAATTATAGTAATAAACGACCCTATGGCCAGTTGCCGCCTTGGATAATCAACTTTAGACACCACACGATAAAATCAATTGCTACGATTCGTGTCAATCCGATTTGTTAAGTATACGATCAATTTCAATAGACATCGGTCTCGTGCCTTTATATAATAAATGAAAAATTTTATACCGATCTTTTATTTTTATCCTTGTCAATTTTATCCTTGACGATACATTGTTTATTCAGTAAAAAAAAAAAGGGTATATTTAGATGAGCTATAGCTTCGAGGAACGATCGTGTATCAAAATAGACGAGCTTGATGGCTTGTCCTGGGCTGGCACAGACCTTCGCAGTAGTGAAATTTTGGTACCCACGTGATGACGACTAACAGATCACGAAACACACTACAACCTTGACTGCCCGCATAGATTATAATACCCGTCGCGCTATATAAGTCAAGCTTAAGACCGTGATAAAAAGTAGAAATATTTATCGTGGTAATGTATTTTAAATTTAATTGCGTTTCGCTGAACATTGTACGAAACAGAACATTGTCGTCGAAGAGGCGACGGAAGAAAAATAAAGGGAACAATTGAAATTAAACAGATATCAACAAGTTCGATTACAAAAAGCAAAAGAAAGAAATTACGAGGAAACTGTTGCTTGCGATATAAAAAGGGGTCCAACACTTTGTTCACATCGCACCTTTGCCCAAACGCGTTTTTTAACGTAATATAATTCCACGGCACGTGGATGTTTCAAGTGGAAAGTTCCACAAATCGATCAGACGATCGGATTTTCTAACGAAGAAATAAACAAGCAACGAATAAAGGATGAGATCATAACGCGTGAAAGATGTACGAACTACATATCCGTAGTGAAATATTTTCACCGTGATACGTATATACGTATATATAGTTTCCAACAGATATGTTTTCCGGTTCCAATCCGGTTGTGTCGCCGCGGTTTCACAGAAATGAAAAAAAATTTCTTTTTGCATAAACAATCGCAATATGAGAACGTACGGTTCATACTTACGGTGCTATCGGACATTAATAGATAAGAAGTAAGAGCACTAGCACCAATGGCACTTGCACCCCCCACTAGTAGTTTCAACGATGATGCCATCTTACTCGTCGTTTATGGTGGAACGAATCTTTCCGGAAGAATCTGGAAATAAAGCGGTAAAGGCGGTTCGTTACTTATCGTTGCAGCAGGTTAGAGATTACGTAAGATGGAGAAAGAACTGTTGAAAGACACGATGAGCTAAAGAGGGAAGAGGATGGTTGTTAAATCGGCAAAATTCCTGTTTAATCTATATGATAAGGATTAGAGGAAAATACTTTTACACGAGCCGATAAGATAAATAAAGACTGCGGAATGCGGATATCTACCGATCGACCTATGAATTCCCTGTGTCTCTGGATCTATGAATCAGTGAATCACCGTTCAGGTCATTTGGTGATATATCAACAGGTGCAACGTGTGAATAGCTATGTATTTAGAAAAGATGCAACGAAAGAGAAGTTACTGATGAAACGTTGGTAGGAAGAGGAGTCGACTGCGTATTGGAATTTGATCTTCCTAGTTGGGAAAATGACCTAACACGTGTACAGTAATCTTTCAAGTACATATTAACTTATGAAATACTTATGTAACATACATTAAACACGATATTAAGTATATCAAGTATAATGATATTAACCACCAAAGTATAGGGATAGTTCATTGGCTTCCTCGCGAAGTTCGCAAGGTCTAAAAGCGATGCATCAAAAATGATCATTGGCAGTTATCCTGGAATATTTTTATCTCAATTAAACGTGACATACCGTTTCACTATCTCGTGTCATGTGACATACTGATGTGTCATGCGAGACAACATCGTGCTTATAATTTTCACGCATACAATGATGTAAGAGGGCTTACAATGTAGCGATCGGATCCGTGCGCGAAGTGAATTACACGATCATCGTGTGCGCTATAATTATTCAACTGGTTTCGAAACTTCCTATTTATGACCGGGGGGGGGGGGGGG